TATTAAGAAACCACAATTAGATCCTAGTGAACTGGCAAATTACAGACCCATTTCAAATATTCCGTTTATGTCTAAAATTTTTGAAAAAGTTGTGTCTGCTCATTTGTGCTCCTTCCTGCAAAAAAAAATTATCTACACAAGTTAATTTTTAACAAGATCCTTATAATTTCAGGCTGATTTTAACAGGTAGCCCAACACCTTGCAGCACTGATTGAGTTGCAAGCACGTAAAATATGGAGTGCCACAAGGATCTGTCCTAGGTCCTCTGCTATTTTCAATATACATGTTGGCCCTTGGTAATATTATTAGAAAATACGGGATTAGTTTCCACTGTTATGCCGATGATACTCAACTATATATCTCAACAAGACCAGATGAAACTTCTAAATTATCTAAGCTAACAGAGTGTGTTAAAAATGTAAAAGATTGGATGACCAATACTTTTCTCCTATTAAATTCTGATAAGACAGAGATCTTACTTATTGGACCAAAAAAACAGTACACAGAATCTCTTAGATTACAGTTTGCAACTAGACGGATGTAGTGTTACTTCCTCTACAGTCAAAAATCTGTTATATTAGACGGAAACTTGTCTTTTTTTTAATGTCATGTTTCCCATGTTACAAAAACATAATTCTTCCATCTTAGAAACATTGCCAAGCTACGAAACATGTTAACTGTTTCTGATGCAGAAAAGCTAGTTCATGCATTCATGACCTCTAGACTGGACTATTGTAATGCACTGCTAGGTGGTTGTCCTGCATCTTCAATAAACAAGCTACAGGTAGACCAAAATGCAGCAGCTAGACTCCTTACCAGGTCAAGAAAATACGATCATATTACCCCAATTTTACAATCTCTGCACTGGCTATCTATCATCTTCCGTATCAGTTACAAAATATTATTACTTGCCTACAAGGCCCTTAATGGTTTAGCTCCTGTGTACCTAACTAGTCTTCTACCAGGCTACAATCCATCACTCTCCCTAAGGTCGCAAAACACTGGCATTTTTGTAGTACCTAGGATAGCAAAGTCCACTAAAGGAGGTAGAGCTTTTTCACATTTGGCTCCCAAACTCTGGAATAGCCTTCCTGATAACGTTCGGGGTTCAGACACACTCTCTCTGTTTAAATCTAGATTAAAGACACATCTCTTTGGCCAAGCATTCAAATAATGCATCTCATAATCTTGTACTGCAGTTATATCTGATCAATTGTACATTATTATTCTTTAGCTTGGGTTAAACAAATAAATTTTGCTTGGTCGGAACAGCAGCTACGCTAAATATGTCTCTATTCTGTTTCTGCCACGGGATTGACAACTAAACTTAATTTTCTGTAAAGATGCTTTGCAATGATTTGTATCGTGAAAAGCGCTATACAAATAAACTTGAATTTAATTGAATGTTGCGTTCCTATGACAGACACTTAAAAACAAAGATTTGCATGACACCACTGTCTGCAGCGTCTCCACACACAGACAAAACTTACTCCAGAAGTGTCGACATTCTAATTTATTGAGATGCACCTGTACAACTCTTTCGAACTGGGATCATGGCAAAATATCCTGTGATGTCCACTTCGCAGGGCACTTACTCATGTTCATGTACTGCAGCACCACATGCATGCATCGTGATACTTTTCAAAATGGTGCCATGGTGAGGTGGAGGAGAAAAATTGTTGAATAAAGTCATTATTTTTGTTTTCATTGCGCACAAAAAGTATTCTCGTTGCTTTGTAGAATTATGGTTGAACCACTGATGTCACATGGTCAATTTTAACGATTTCCTTACTATGTTTCTCAGGGCCATGCACAGACATTTTGAGGGGCAGTGGCCCAAACCAAAAAAGGGGCACTAGGGCGGTGGGTGCTTGTTAATACAAATGATCCAGTTGTTACAAATATACAATTAAAAGAGAAGACAGCACACTCTGTAATAATTTCAGACTTTATTGTAGATGTTTTGATAAGAATGGGCTCTCCCTCACTCTCTGAGCCTGCTTCTGCCTCATCTTCAATGGAAGTAGGGGAGAGTGGGGTAAGTTGAGCCAGTGGGTAAGTTGACCCACCCCCTGTTTCTTGGCAACTGTACACTTTTACTGTCATGTGACCATGTATTTTGGAACCACCCATCATTTCTGCCAGACTGTGAAAATGAGAAACATATGGCGGGAATGGAAGGCACCCATTTACTTTAAAAACTATTTTTGGCTTGTCAAAGTAAAATTTTAGCATAACATATGGTTGTTATATCAAAGCAAATTGATCCAGGTCTAAAAATATTTATGATACATATAGGGGATTTAGCAACATATAAAACCATGCAAATAATTTAGCTAAATATTAGCCTGAACTGGTAAGCAACAGTAGCTATTTTGTTCCATATGGCAGCTATGGGGAAAAGTAAGCCAAATGCTGTGGGGTAAATTGAGTCAGCATTGTAACTTACCCCATTATAAGGCACTGTAGTTAAGTTAAATATCTGAATTATAAATTGGAATTTTAATGTGATTGTCAAAGTTATGAACTATTGTGTTTTTTTTTTTCATTTGAGCCCTCGTGTTCCATTGACCTAGTTTCTGTCTCCCCTTGATTGTGTCATTATGTTCAGGTGTGTCTTGTCAATTATCCTCCCCATATAAGTTGAATTCAGTTCAGTGTTTTTTTGTCCGGTCTCGTCAACGTGTACGTGTTTCTTAAGCCTTCGTGTTGTTGAGTACCTTGTGTGGATAATATTAAAGACTTTTACTTTCATCTTCATCTTTGTGTGAGTTCGTTCTACAAAGAACTGTGCCAGTGATATTACTGGTTTAGTTTATCATATATACATATTTTGTAGTTTATTTGATAGGAACAGTGTACAAGTGCACCAAATCCTTCTCTGATAAGAACCAGAAAATGCTTTTCATCGCATTATAATCAGATATACTGAATCTTTCCACCTGTAGTCCCTAATGGCCAACAAACTCTCTGTTTAGTTTGTTTTTAGGAAGGCTACAACTTTACTGTTCAACATATTGTTTCAGAAATGCAAACCGTTAAATATTACCCCTAACCCGGGGCAAACTGAGCCATGGGAACACTTTTTTTTATATAAGAAGCCATATTTTTAGAACCTTTTGTCATAGATGCATACTGATTATTTAAAATGATAGGAATACTTTCATTAGGATAGGATATAGGATAGATACTTTCATTGTACTTCTGCATCATTTTAACTTATCTTGAGGACCACATAAGTAAAAAATGGCAAATCTTACCCCACTCTCCCCTATAAGTATTAGAAATGTAATTTAATATTTTACAGCATAAATCTATATTATATACTAATAAACAACAAATTTAGAACATTTCTATTATTTTTTAACTATTTTATAGGCCTACTGTTAATATGGTTTTAATAAAATATGATGTGTTATAGATTACTAGTATCAAGTGATTATAATGGGAAATATACTTAATTACAAGAATTAAAGTGTGACAAACTGCTAAATATTCTATATGATGATTTACCTGCTGGAGCTTTGTATTCATGTTTGCAATGTTGAACTGCCTTTAGCTCCCTTCGCTCTTTCTCTCTGTGGCTGTCTTCGTTTTTGCGAAGGCATTTTTTTTTTGTCTACAAAGTGTGTCAACAACAGCGAATTTTGTGTTATTTATATTAGATATGATCGGGTACAATAATTTGATTAGACATTCTAATTCTAAGAACGTGGATATTTTGTTGTTATCACTTTTTAAAGACCGAGAGCAAATCATTACCGACAGAAATACAAAAACAAACTACCAAATTACCAATTCAGCGAATCATCCACTGACTGTAATGTGGATTGTAAAGCATCTACCTGTTAATGCAACGACATTGGGAACTGTGGTCTCCACTCCAGAGAACAGCACACAGATCATGAGAAATGCTGAGGAGCGGATGGGAAAACACAGAGCAGATTACCGGAATCAGTGGATCTTTAGCGGAGCGGGAACAGACCGCTTTGAGCCTGGGTGATGGGGAGGGGGGATTGGTGAGAGGGGCAACTCAGCTGATGAGGGCAAAGGGGCAGTGGCTCTAGCCACCGGGCCACCCCCCTGTGCACGGCCCTGATGTTTCTGTATCTTGATAGTACCCTTGCTGTCTATGGAGGTTCAGAGAGCACTCAGATTTAATAAAAAATATCCTAATTTGTGTTCCAATGATGAACAAAGGTCTTACTGATTTGGAACGACATAAGGGTGAGTTTTGAGTAATGACAAAATTCTCAGATTTGGGTGAACTATCCCTTTAATCACCATTTGCACCCTGGGCGCCACAGCAAAAACGACTGCCCACTGTTCCAGATGGCCTCCACATCACATCACTTCACTTTTTTTTTTTTTTTTTTTTTTTTTAATAACTCTGCAAGTACCTTGTTATTTTATGTTTCAACCACAGATAGCTAGAAAAATGCATGTAAATAACTTAAAATGAATTAATTTACAGTGCATAGCTCTTGAAATACTTTGCTGTAATTTTCATTGAAAAAATTGACTAATACAAGAGGAAATATTCTGTACTAAAGTTTGGGTACTAACAAATAGGCTATCATGCTTCATATATTTTAGGGACAAATGAGTGAGCCATCAGATGTGATCTTATCTACAACCAAATTTCTAATTTGTTTACAGGCTTTCCACCAATATCAGAATAGAGTCTAAATACCACCTTAAATCTAACAACAATCTTTTCCAGTGTCTTTTTTGGTGAATGAGATGTTGTCATATAAAGAGAGTGTAGTTTTAAAACTGTACTTTGTCTCCATCTGCTGGTCAGTTTTGAAATTTCTAACTGTTTATTTCAAACGTTTTCCTAATAGGTCGTTATGTGCCGTCTATTGTTTGTATCCATCGTCGGTAATGAGAAATGCATAGATTTGCAAACTATGTTAAATATGTTTCTTTCTTTCTTTTTCTTTTTACATCTCCCCATAAAATCACATCCAAGTACTAGCTGAGATTGCACAATCCTGAAAGCCCGCCCAGCTCAAGCAGCTTCTTAAATTGTACCTAACTTCCTAAAAGTGAAAGTAGACTTTCTCCAAATCTTCAGTCTCAGCAAGCTGTAAGTACACTTCTGTTAATTCATGAACTCAACTTGCTCGAACAGCTTGGTCATGCTAATTGGAATGTGGCATAATTGTGAATTAAATTTAGTTGTATGAATTCATTGCTATAGGCTAATCAAAATGTGGACATAGAAATGTTGTCGATGTATAAGAAATATAAATATGTGTTTTATTATACTTAAAAAAGTAGAAATTAATGCATTCTTTAAAAAGTAAAAATTTATCTCAGTTCAAATATTATCCTGACTAGCTTCTCAATACCTCTATTTTGGTGTTGAATTCAAACATTTGAAAGTACTGAATCAAAATCAACACAACACTAACTGCAAAGACAAAGGTCCCTTTGAAAAAAAGTCTTGCTCAATAGTGATACGAGTTTAACTTGTCCCTGTTCCTTAGAAACAGTTGGGAACTAAACCATGCTGCTTTTGTGTGAGCAGCCAACCACCTGAAAAAAAAAGTTGTCATAAAAACATCCTTAAAAACTGCATATTAATTGATAAAATATAATGCTATTTTAGCTGAAGAACACACATATTTCCTGTACATTTTTAAAAGCATGCAGTAAACAGCATGTAACTGATTGCAGATTGCAAGATTAAAATTAAAAAGAGAGATAAAATAGGGAAGTTCTTATTTGTTTTGCTGAGAAAAGGCAAGATACTATTAACAGCTATGATTTAATTTTTTTCCCAGAATGTGTTGCATCTTGTGATAACACAAAATGACAGCTATTGAAGTCCAGGGAAACCCACAGACATCGAGACCTTGCAGATCAATGAGTCTCTTTAACAATATCAAGGTAAGATTCCAAATATAATGTCTCAGGTTACGTATGTAACCATGGTTCCCTGAGAAGGGAATGAGACACTGCGTCCTCTAGAGGTTGCTATGGGGGAACGCCTTCAGCATGACTGGTGTCTGAAGCATACATCTAAACATGACAATAACATTGGCCGGCGACAGCCTGTGACGTCATCACAGTATATAAGGGCGCAGGGAGAACATGTCATCCGCTTCTTTGTCTGAAGCTTATGTCTGAAGCATGGCAGGGGAACTAGAGGACGCAGTGTCTCGTTCCCTTCTCAGGGAGCCATGGTTACATACATAACCTGAGACGTTCCCTTCTGAGGGAACGAGACACTGCGTCCTCTAGAGGTCGCTATGAGGAACGGTATACCCATGCCGTCATGCTGAGGGGGGTGCATGCCAGAAACCACGGCGAGCACTAAGTACCAACTCTACCATAGCCATGGGAGTTGCCCCAAGGCAACTGTCAGTGGCATTATCCCCTTCGGCCAAGGGCCTGAGCTGCATAACCTAAAATAACTTACCTGTTAAAGGTGCCATAGAATGGAAAACTGTATTTACCTTGGTATAGTTGAATAATAACAGTTCTGTACATGGAAATTACATACCATGAGCCTCAAACACCATTGTTTCCTCCTTCTTATGTAAATCTTGTGCATGCAAAAGACCACTGAAAAATAGGCGAATCAGAACATATCACTCACTGTGACGTTACAGTCGGGATCTCTAACACTTACGCCCCCAACATTTGCATATACCCACCCATGTTCTATGCCAGCCGCCCGCCGAACCTGCACAGCCATATCATCAGAAGTTCTGCAGGTATTGTGAAGAAACAAGCGAGGATAATAGCAACAACGGCAGATCATGGAAATAAATGTTATGTTCCAGGCTGTGCAGGGGATGTGATGTGCAGGGATGGGTTGGTGTCTGTATTCAGAAAGGCACGGAAAACAAATAACGCACGTTCTAATAAAATAACGTGAGCCACTAAAGGGACATGGTTAGCTGTTTGCGAGCGGTAGCCTGTTACATTACAGTACATAAGATTTACATTCCTTTACAAGACATAAACAGAGTAAGGAGAGATGACTGAGGATGATGGCGAATGATTTACAGATCCTGAGCACCACTGACAAGCATCTGATTTTGTAAAATGTGTGGTAAGTACTGCCGCTGTAGTTTACACAGAACATGTGCGATCTCAAATCTTGAAAGTGAAAGTACATTGTGCATTCGAAAGCAGTTTCAATGCCATGCATATTAATAGCGGCTCCCTGATGCCCGCATTTTATATACAGTATAATTACCCAAAGATATAACGGCGAGAGACAGTTGAAATTATATATTTTCCCTGTGATTCTTTCCTGCTGTGTGAGCTACTGAAATGAGCTGCACTGTGAAAGAGCCAATCAGAGCAGAGCTCAACATTGAGCCGCACTGTGAAACAGCCAATCAGAGCAGAGCTCAACATTATTATTCATGACCCTTCCAAATAACATTTAGTCATTTAGCAGACGCTTTTATATAAGGTAAAAACAGACCATTTCATTCTAGGGACAAATCCTAGGGTTGTAAATGGACATGTAAAACCATTTCTGGATATTTTTTGCCCTTAACTAAGTCACATACCTTCTATGTAGATATCAGAGAACAATTTAAAATATTATATCAATGCATTCTATGGCACCTTTAAGGGCTGGGCTAAGAAGCCTAAGCCTAGGGCAGAGCTCAAGGCTTGGAATCAGAAAAAAAAGATTTATTTAAGGGGATACGGCCAGGTGGCTAAAAACCAAACCAGACCCTGGCCTGCCACCCAGGGGGGCTACCGCCGGTTCTGAATATACCTACTCAAAGAACTGACTCGACAGATCTTTGGTAGCAACACCCTGCTCAGAAATGTACCAACAAGATACATAGGTTGAGTGGAGCCCAAGGCGAGAACCGGGGACTAAACCAACTCAGAGAAAGGGAACAAGGCTCAACAAGGAGGCGGAGAGAGGCCTAACAACTTGACAACCCTCCGAGGTGAGGGGAACACTGCCTGGCTTGACCCAAATAGAGGCAGATTATCACGGAAGCAGCAAGCGGCGCAACTACCTGATGTCATAGCCATGGAGCTCAAGAGCGGAGGGTTCAACCCCTAGGTAGGAGAGAGAGGAACCCAGCTCGACCGAAGTGATCAATAGCCCAGGGTCAGGGGACCTAACTCTCAAGTCGAGAGGAGGACTCACCCAGTCTGCCCGGCGAGCTCAAAGGGACCCTCCCACAGTGAGGGGAGCACAGCCATGTCCGGGGAACAGATAGATCACAAATGGGACATCAGAAATGGGATCCTGCTAGAAGGGGATCACACATTTCTACAGGTAACAACAGGTTCCCAAAATAAAGGCAACTGACCAAGGAGGCGACAGAGACGGGCCTAACACTCAGTTCGTTGCATTTGGGGTTTTTCGGGAGCAGCGCTCTCAGCTCACAATCTGAGGCGGGCCCTTACAGCACATACTGGGAGCGACTCATTGCTAACCCTCACAGTTAGAGGAGCACCAGCTCAGCTCATCTCGACCAGAAGGAGGCGCTAGATTAGAAGGGGTAACCCAGCAGGGCCGAATAAGAGACAATCCACTGGTGCAGCTGGACATGGTCTCAAGCTATTTTGATAGAGAGCGTGGGTCCCGTATAACCAGACCCGCTAGAATCTGAAGAAATAGCGGGATCCAATAACCATTCATGCATACAGAGCTTACTGTTCCTCAGAGCAGAAGCATACAAGAGGGGGTTTCCGCAGAAACACAAATCCCTCGTACCTCAGGGAATGCAGTGTGCTCAAGCCCACTCCACAGAGGGGCGATTACTGGTTCAACCATAAGGGCAGTGTGATAGGGAGGACCCGCGGGCCTGATCGTCTATGGAGTGTTGAGCCCCTCAACACCTCAGCGAAGCTATTTTGATAGAGAGCGTGGGTCCCGTATAACCAGACCCGATAGAATCTGAAGAAATAGCGGGATCCAATAACCATTCATGCATACAGAGCTTACTGTTCCTCAGAGCAGAAGCATACAAGAGGGGGTTTCCGCAGAAACACAAATCCCTCGTATCTCAGGGAATGCAGTGTGCTCAAGCCCACTCCACAGAGGGGCGATTACTGGTTCAACCATAAGGGCAGTGTGATAGGGAGGACCCGCGGGCCTGATCGTCTATGGAGTGTTGAGCCCCTCAACACCTCAGCAAGAGGAGCTCTAGCTCAGGGAATGTGCATGATGGTTTAGGATAGACTCAAATCTCAGGAGACTCCACAGGGTGAGAAATGAGTAGCGCACCCTGGCCAGAGGATAGGGAGCATGTCACGAAGCATGTACTCAGAAGAGTACTAGCCCGCGAGAAGGACCCGCAGGTCCTGAGGTTGCAGCGTTATACTGGGGACCTGATGCTGGGAGGCTTCCGCAGAAGCCCAGGTTGTGTGTCCAAACCGAAGATGAGGGCTATCACCAGCCTTGATCCAGTACCGATGAGTGAAACCGTCATTATAATCGTCATTATAATCGGTCAACAGCAGGAGGTCCTGACTTATCATGGGGGTCAAACCTAAAAAGTCAGAAAACAGAACAGGTCTGAGTAGCGCTGAAGAAAGGACTAGTATCGAATACACAAAAACTAGCAGTAGAGTAGATGAAATGGATCATACTCACCAACCACGGCTCCTGTGCATGACTCAGGCTCATGGATATAGGCTGGAGGTGAAGTTCGAAGAGCACTGGAGTCCGGACCATCAGTAGGTATTTCTATGAGACATAGAAACTAGCCAAAACATCATAGGTCCAGCATAAGAGACTGCAATGCAAGCGCAGGAAGCTCCTACTTCATCTCAGCCAGGAGAGAAGCTTTTTAGGGGAATTAAGGGGAGGAAGATGAGAGCAGATTTAATACTCTCAGGGGGAGGTGAGTAGATGGCTCAGGTTTTACTTTGGTCCAGACGAGAGCGTTGAGAACACCTAGTCTGGATCACTTCCCTCAAATCTTGCCTGTCACCCTTAGACCCACACCCCTTTTGAGCCCTACAGGCAGGCAGGGCGGGGCGCGAGTCGCGACACTAGTCTTCTGAGCCTGCCTTTGATCCTTAGATTGAGACGGGCCGGGACTCCTTTGTTGTTCGGGCTGAGACCTGGACCTTCGTGGAATGAAGAATTTGAAGGCAGTGAAGCGCGTCTTGGCCTCCTTAAATTTCTCAACCACTATCTCAACGGAAGTGCAGAAAAGCTCAGAAGGGGAAACTGGCACATCAAGAAGAAAGCCCTTCTCTTTCGACCCGATATCTGCCAGATTCCCCCACAGATGTCTCTCCATAACCACCATGGATGCCATGGATCTGCCAATGGCAGTGACAGCCTGCTTAGTGGCATGGAGAGAAAGAACTGTGGTGCGACACAACTGACCTTTATCTAGGTCTTTCAGCAGATCAGCCTGATAAGCCTGAAGCACCGCCATGGTATGCAATGAGGCAGCAGCCTGACCCGCATGCCCTGCCATTCAAACGAGATGTATTCTAAAGGGGTTTGGACGGCAGGGAGGGAGCCTTAAGAGAAGATGTCTCCCCCATAGAGAGATACCAGGCCAGTGTCTCTTCAACAAGGGACATCTTCTCATAATCATTCTCACGCATCCCCTCAATGTTGGCATAACTAGTATGCTGGAATCTATGGATGTGAGACGAGAATGGACTTTTTCCAAGACTTCTCTTCTCTTCGCTTATGAGCAGCTCATCATAATAGGAGGCTCATCTGACATCTATTGCTCATCCTGGCTTTGAGCCAGCAGAGCACCAGCCGCTGGATCAGACAATATAAGAGAGATATCATCATCGTCCAGCAGCTCTCGTGCTCTTCGCCCAAACAAAAGATGCAAAGATCATGTGTGTCATCAGGTGTCAAGTAACAAGGACACAGATCCACACACTTCTTAATCGCCTTATTAGTGCTCAACATGGTAAAGAAG